AGTGATCTGTCAAATATTTGGTCACTCAGAGCGTTCGCAGCCTCCAGAGAAAGGAACCATATTATCATACCCCTAAAAGCGTTCAAACACTACTAATAACTGATTTCAGTAAAGCATTCGATAGGATAAACCACACCAAGCTAATTAACAAGATGTTGACATGTGGGGTAAGGGCGTCAATTATGCCTTGGATATGTAGCTTCCTTACAGACCGTACCCAGTGCGTCCGATACCGTACCAAATCCTCAACCTGGGAGGGAATCTCATCTGGAGTGCCTCAAGGCACTAAATTGGGACCGATTCTTTTTCTTATATATGTCAATGACGCCTTACAAGATGACATTCTAAATCGTTATAAATACGTAGATGACCTGTCGTTATGCGAGAGCAGACTTTTCTGTGAAGCGAGCCTAATTCAATCATCTATGGACCGACTCGACTCTTGGGCAATTAATAATGACATGAAGCTAAATGACGAGAAGTGTATGCTCATGACCTTTTCCTTTATGAGAGACTGTCCCCCACCCCCTAATATAACACTTCATAATAAGCCCCTTATATATACCGAATCCGCCTGTATTCTCGGTTTATGGCTCTCGGGGGACCTGAAATGGGACAAACATATTGAAATTATAACAAAGAAGGGGAGCTCACGTCTTTTCTGGCTGAAGAAACTGAAACATTCCGGACTCCCTGTTCAAGACCTTTGCGATTTCTACCAAGGATACATACGCCCGACCCTTGAATATGCGGCCCCAGTTTGGAATTCAAGTATCTCTGTACATCAAGTAATAAAAATCGAACGCATACAAAAACGAGCAGTAAAGATAATCCTTGGCCCCCTGTACACGTCTTACAACATCGCCCTGTCCCAATTATGTTTGCCGTCCCTAGAGAAAAGAAGAGAAACCCTTAGCCTTAAGTTTGCAAAGTCCCTCCTTAACTCCCCTTCGTTCCGACATTGGTTACCCCCATCCCGCTCAGATATTCACGGCAGATGCCTGAAGGGGGCAAACCAACTCGACATCCCTTTGACGAAAACAAAGCGGTACAAAACGAGCCCAATCCCCTATTTCACTGATTTGTTAAATAAACAAGCAGACCTAGGTTGAAATCTCCCAGTACCGGACCAATATTGTTTTTAATCACTTATATATCTAATTTATAACTGCGTACAGCTAGTATTTGTTTAAGTTGTTTGTACCTAGTTTGTCAATGTCCTTTGTTTGTTTAGCCCACCTTATTGTTTAATTGTTTTTAAACCTGTGTACGCAATTCAGCGGTTTAAACGCTGCCATGTACAAGGATTGTTGTCAATAAACTATTATTATTATATTATATATTACATTATATTATTAGTGTTATGATAGCACTGATAGAAGGTTCTACTGAATGCTGTATCAACTTCTACGTAAAAGTCATCAAATATTTCTGCACATTGTGATGTCGCATTTGAAAGTGAATCATATACCCATTTTCGGAAGTGTAGAGGGATAAAATAAATTTCACTGCACAAAAATTCGTCCATCTAAGCACTATTTGACAAAAATCATCTTGTATGAAGCATTTGTAAACCATTTCGGACCCTACCAATAATATTTTGACAGTGCTAATTCATTTTACCCGCCAGTAACATAACTCACCATGTATAAAACATATTCATGGACAAGTTGTAACTTTTTCTTCGGGTGGGAGTTCCATTCACACCTAGACCTGTCACACGAGTTTCGAGTTCATTTCACACACCTTGTGTAATTGGCGACTAGCACGCCTACGGTATATATTGAGGGGCGGGCCACATACAGGGCGGAGTTCAACTCTAAATAATTGATTAAGTGTTACCTGGCCAGACTAGATCGCTATCTGTTCTTTTTGACACACATATAGACTCTATTAGACTGGCAAGGCGGCTGGAAAGAGTACACAGGAGCGCCAAACTGTACTCTTTTAGCGGACCAACTCCCCTGACATGTTATCTGTCTATTGGGACAATTTCTACTCTTTCCTGCCACCTCTGAAGCCTGGTAGAGGCTAGTTCTGTATCTGTATAACCGCTCTTTGGCGTACCACACCAGCTTCTGAAGAAGCTACACACACATACACAGTGACACACACACATACAGTGGCACACACATACTATGACACACACACAGTCACACATACACACACAGTGGCACACACACACAGTGACACATACACACACACACACACACACACAGATACACACACACACATACAGTCACACACACACACACACACACACACACACACACACACACACACACACACACACACACACAATGACACACACACAGTGGCTCTCACACACACACACAGTGGCACACACACACATAGTGACACGCACACACACACACACACACACACACACACACACACACACACACACACACACACACACACACACACACACAGAGAGAGAGAGAGAGAGAGAGAGACTTACGTGTTGAAACCGTCTCTAAGACCTGCGCATAGCCACAAGGCATGCAGTGTAAATCACGCCAATTTAACGACGTGAAAGTAAGTCGGATCGGATATGTCACCAAGTTATAGCTCCTCTCCTTAGGAGGTCTTACACAGATACCATCTTTCATATGTAGACAGACATCTTCTCTGCGGATCTGTGTTTACAAAGGCCAGGGACAATTTAGGGTACCCAAATCAAGAAGCCGAGAGACTGTTTAGCTCTGTTGGTTCTAATTGAGTTTGTTCAACGCTGCTTGCCGATAACAATTAGCTAGTAAGGGGCATGTAGAAAACAGAAGCAGGGGACCTTCTGTGTTTGACAGTCAGGGAATAAGATACATGTAATATTGACCACTGTGGCACTGTGTAGATGTACTAAGCCACTCTGTGGTCGGTGGTTGTATCACAACTACGCCCCTGCAGCGTTCTAAGTGCTTCGCTCTAAGCTCAATCAACAGTGAATGATAAACCCCTCTAAAACGGAGAATAGGCTTTCCTAAAGCCCCAATTTCCTCAATTTAGCGCTTCTCCTTTATTGTCTCCAATCCAGATCCCACCCCACTGACGCCAGGACCCATCCTCCTCCTCAAAACACATCCGCTTCTTTGCGCTGTAAAACGCATCGCTTCCCAAAGTTTGCGCCGACTAAGAAGAAAGACATCATCAAAGCCAGCAGCAATACACACTCGGAGATTCCCCCGACTCGCAAGGGGCAAGAGTCAACATGCCTCGTGTGTACACAGAGCCCATACGCCGTCGTATTTAGCACTTTTGTGGGGGATATCTCCCCTCTCCATCGGTCCAGAAAGGCGCCAGGGCGACACACCTCTTCGTCCCGTAATAAAACGGACTAACAACTATACCCCTAACCGCGTAAAGTGCTCCAGCGCTCCGGCGGCACCTGGGCCATCGATACTCGCCTATCATAACCAGAGATTATAGGCATCCGCTAGGAGAAAATGCCGTGCTGTCCAGACATCTCGTCGCAACGGCACGAAAATTCACGACTCGGGAACGTCTGTCTTTTTTTAAAAAAAACTTCCTCTGACTTTGCGGACACTGGTGATAATTCACCGCGTCAAGACATAAAACCGAGGGAAGATAGCTGCTAGAAGCGGCTGGAGTCGCGGCCTTTGTGAGAAATTCGCTCGGTTTGTTGCTTTTAAATGTGCAAACGGTGCAATCATGGGACCATGCGTTCTGTGCTGAATACACTCTCACGAGTCATTTCAGAGATTGTGATGTATTTTGTTCGTCTGTTTCCATAGAACTGTACATTTGTTAAGAATAATGAATATAAAAGTCGTCTAAGTCGAACATCTTTGTCTACAGCTAGACTAGTGATGGTGGAGGAGCTACAAAAGGCGATAGTTTTTTCTAACATTTTCGTCGCTTATAGTATTATACTAGTATATGATATCGTTGGTTGTAATACTAGTACTAGTACTCATCTAGCTTCAATATCAGACGCTACGCCAAAGTTAGCCGGTGTGGATCACGGCCTAACTGTGGAGACTGTGGTATAATTTCCTTCGGGACATGTGGGCCCTGAGACCGAGGAACTGGCCTGTGTATGCCCTGGAAACAGTCTGGCACCCAGGCTAGTGTTCAGCAGGCTATACCGCACACATACACGTCCCCCCGACTGTCTACGCCACTCCCCGTCATCACCACACACAAAAAAGTCAACATTCTCACTTCCAGCCCACTTCCCACTCTGGTGTTGATAGGCGCCCAGCCGAGTCCGTTTACATTTTCTCCCCGAGTCCCCCTGCCGTAAACAGGCATCGGAAATGGCGCAGTTTTCGCCACTGTTTCTGTTGACTTAGGATGATCCGTGTTTGCCTGTGATTCCACGACAAACAAGGCGGGCGCGCTAACTCGCCGCTCCATTGACGCTACATGTCAAGAGTGCCCATTTAGCTGCCTGTCCCGCTCCGCCGGTCGTTAGCACCTCCGCCCAAAGCCTGGCGCCTCCACCGTCACCCTAAATCAACAGTACTCCCCGAGCTGACATTACCGGGGCTCTAGGGTTCTCTCATCTGATCGCTGACTACGATCTACTACAGGGGGGAAAACTACGTCCCATGAGGCCGGACACAAGCGGGGCGGACGAAACCCCTCGCCCGACTACCTGTTCTATCTCTACCCGCTGTCTTACACACACGTACACGAGGGCGCCCTATACTGTATACATTGTTTACAACAATAGGACATACACCAAAACATTTAAAGCGTTCAAATGAAGTACAAGACCCATTTACTCATCCATCGCGAAAAACCAAGTTTCTCTAAAACTATAACACATCGTCCGCTCTCTCTGTCTTACAGCACACACACGCACGCAGACGCCCTACATTGAGGCTACATTGTTTACAACAATAGGACATATTTGACCTACAACAAGTTACGATAAAGTACAAGAGGAGGGTTAGACTTGTCCTAATTTTTCGTCCATAACCCCAAGTTTCTCCATCTAAAACTACAACCCATTGCCGTCTGGCGTTGTGCATAAAAAAAGCGGCGCTGGACGCTTATCGTCCCGGGCGGTACGTAATAGCTGAACGGTATTCATCTCTTTAGTCCGGCTGCCTGCCTAGATCGGGATCATACGGTATCAACCCCGTAGTAGTGTGCACTCTCTCAACGCTAACTATAGTATCACACACATATATCTACCTCTCACGGGGTACCAAACACACCAAGAGAAACCAGGCTGATACAACACAACGACTTCGTACCATCTCCACGAGCGTTTTATTGGGGTAAACGATCTGACTACAGAAACACTCGCTTGTGACAATATACTTGCCGCCGGCACGGCACCATAAATAAAGTTTTTAACGACGAACAAATAATAAAAAAAAGGCGGGAATTGACCCTGGATAGCTTTATAGTGAGGTTCTGTTTCCGTTCTTTTTGGGGCCAGCCCAGGAGTAAATGCGTTTCTGTTTTGATTACAAGAGTTCGGGTAAAAAGCACAGGGCGAACCCGGCTCAATTCTAACAACAGCCCTGGGGCTAAGTGTAGTACCGGCCATACACATAGGGGCGCATTTGAACAAACCCCTGTCTTCTCAGAGTACGCAAGGGACATCAGAAATAACATATCCCAACATTATTGTTTCCGTATTTACAAATATAGTTATAATATAATATGCAACACAACAATAGCATTCTTACATACAAGTGCATACATACTGACTTTTTGAAACTTCCTTCTTATGTGACTACAACTTTTCTCATTTCTAATAACTGACAATTTTCACTCCTATTTTGGCGACTTTTCTCCACGTTTACGTAAAGCACAACTGTTTTTTCCACAAATACAAGAATCTCTGTGTGTCTGATTTGATACAGAATAGTAATCACGATGAAAAATAATTACATCTGATGCTGCTGTGTTCGCTACAACATAGACTTGTCTAATTTCCTCCTGGCGTCACCAAAAGCACGCCTGTCTTATGTTTGTGAAACTGACACGCCGCGTGTTGATTTCAGGACAGATAGAACACAGGCACGGCACTCGATATTTAGTACAGTCAGTGGATAGTCAAAATTCCATTCGTGCAGGGAGGAAGAGAATTCTCACGAACATTTTTCTTTCTACTACCCATAAAATATACAGATCACACGACAATGAAAGAGACTGAAGGTTGGTTTACCGTTAGTCGAACGTCTTGTAAGTTGTACACACACAAGTGTTCTCTCTCTCTCTCTGCAAATGTCCACGTGTTCTTACGTCTTCACTACTACTGCAACTTGCTCTGTTCGGTAAGCTTGGTTAGCGTCTCCACCGCGAGTTGTTCCTGTTGTTTTTCCAGCCCGCTGACGAGTTTCTGAATGTTCTGGAGTTCGCTGGACACCTCGGCGGTACTAGAAGTTGTTCGCGGCGGGGACGACGCCCGTTTCGGGCTCATGTTCTTGCCTCCAGCGCCGCGACTGATGGGGGAGACCGACGACGACTCGCGCGGCGCGTCTGAGGACACCGACGCGTCCGTCCGCGAGGGTAGACCCGGGCAGACGACGGGAGAGCCCGTGGTGACCATGGTGGTAGAGGTAGCAGAGGAGAGGGGGTAGGGAGAGAACCGTAGCGGGTGACGTGCCCCGGCCATTGCACGTTTGTGGAGTTCCGCCGCCTGAGGGAAGGAGAAGGATGGGTTGAAGATGGACCCGTCCAGGAGGGTGTATCCTTGAGGAGACATGCCGAAGAACGGATAACCTTGAGACGCGAGGAGGGGGTGTGTCTGCGAGCTGAGGGGCTGGCTGCCGCCGTTCATACCGGAATGGGGGACGGGGAAGGCCAGGAACGGGTTCATGGGGAACTGAGGCATGCCGCCACTAGTCATGGCTAACTGGGAGGGGTGGAACAGAAACGGGGGTCGGTTGGGTAGACCGTGCCCGCCCGAGAGGAACTGGTACGGGTACATGCTAGCCAGTCCTTGGAGCTGAGATGGGTGGATTCTCCCCATGTGTGACGATCCTGCGTTCATGGCTGACAAGGGGGAGGGGAGGGAGGTTGGGAGTTTGTTGTTGTTGTTTTCCGACTTCTCGCTACTACTTTCTTTATTGTTGTGGACGGCTTTTTTCTCCATCGTGTTCTTTTCTCGTGATTCTGTAGAAGTCTTTTCGCTGTTGTTGTTGTTGCCTCCTCCGTTCTCTTTGTCCGAGGCGCCCCCGCTACCATGGGTACTACTTCTCTCCTCTCCTTCCCTGAGTGCGCTGGCGGTGCTGGGTCTGATCTCGTTCCCGCGGTGCGGTGCGTCCCTCCGGTGGCATTCCTGCGCGGACTTGTTGGTCTCCGTGCAGTTGCCCTTGTGCGTGTGAAGTGACGCAGCTCTCTCCTGCTGTTCGCTGCCTTCATCGCCCGAGCAGGTGGCGTATGGGCGGGCGCTCGCCTCTGTTCTGTAATTGGCGCCTACCGATGGACTGCCCTCAACAATCGGCGAGGCTGGCTCTACAGAAACGAGGAGAGGACACAAAGAAACAAGCACTGATTACAAAGCGAGCCATGGAGAAATTGGTGCCCGTGCTTGGCATCCAGTCCCTCATGGGAGCTCGGGCCACACGGGCACTCTTTACCAAGGCGAGAAAAATTCATCAGAAATTACCCACACATTCGCCCCCGCCCCTTGTTTCGACCCGCATTGTGAGCCGGTGTAGGGAAATTAATAGAGCCCCAGTACATTTCTCCGGGGCACATTTTACAAATGAGATGATTGTATGTGAACAAAGATTCCTTTTTGAGGTCAATTTAGGGGGCTAGGCGTGTAGTTTGACTAGGCTGTTATCAGTCCTATATCGCACTGGAGGTACATAAAAACACACTCCAAACAATCGCGGGTCTAACCCCAGTTATATTTGCCTTACCTTTTGGAGACAAAGGCGGCCGGCTTTCAAGTCGCGGCTCCTTTTCCGTCACTGCGTCCCCACAATCTGCCGTCTCCAGATCGCTAGAATGCCCTTCCTCTAGAAACCCGGGATGTTGGTGGCCGAAGGAATGGAGATGTTTCCTATCGTAAACATGGAGCAAACCAGAAATATGTAGACCGTGTATCGTTGGAAAAACAGCGACAGAAACCATTACAACAAACGATATCTACAAGTGTTCTATCCTATTTCAGACATAAAAGATCAGAAGAGTTTTAAAACACTTCAAAAAATCATATCTTCAAAAGCAAAACGCCTGTGAGGAAGGGGGCTGTATTGGACAAATAAATGGTCCGATGAACCGCATAGATAGCGGGTCGCCTTCCTTGTTTATCTGTCGGAAAAAGGAAGATATTGAAAGAAGCAAGCAAGGTGGAAGTGGTTGGCATTTTTCAATACCTCTAGGCCCCTTCTAGACCGGGACCCACGATATGAAAACAACACTCAAATCCCACGGATGTCCCCACTTCTTTAGAACTTCCACCCCCGGGCCTGAAAGGTTTAAATTTTTTTTCACAAAGGTGTTGCAAAGAGAAGTCGGTACCTTTTTTCCCCGCGTCTGCCGGCTCCGGTGTCTCGGAAACCTTTTGCAAAGGGATTGTGGTCGATTTTCAACTGGGTGATCTGAAAAATGGATTAAACGGCGTCAAAATCCCCCCAGAGAATTAGTCCGGAGACACTAGCAACTTTTTCTTTGACAAGACTGGAGACGCGTTTGATGTATATTATTGAAAAATGATAATGAGAATATGTTTACATGCACCATATCTAGAGCTAAGAAATATCAAACTCAAGACATGCAAGTACAAAAACATCTCAAAACGACAATTCACATAACCATTGACACACACAACTTCACAATATTAATCTAAAACATTTCTACATAAACGTTTGCAAATTCTGTTGTTTTTACTTAGAAACACGGGTCTTTAAAACATATTTAAAAGTACATTTCCTTATGAAGTTAGTGTATCAATTGGAATTTCTTCCGTATTGTATGGTTGAATTTTTTGTGGCGAGATATGCTTCGGTCAAATGATGTTACAAGAAGTTTATATTATTTACACAACGTGCGCGCGATCAAACTATTTCACCGAACTTTACCACTAGGGAAAAATTGCACTTTTGACCCTGATCAGACGTAGACATATCGCGTTGTTTGCTTGTAGGGTTTTAACAGAAGATGTATTGATAATGTGACTCTACAAGTTTGGCTTCATTGCTAGATATAATATAAACCGTGGGGTGTTCAAAACACACGATCCCTGCGCTTGGGGCAACAACCAAGCAACGCTGACGGTCGGGTTTTTTTCACACGTACGACCGTTAAAATTAACAATCTGTGCTCTTTTCATTCGTGAGAATTTTCAATTCAATCTACACGAATAACAACCCTCTGGTCGTAAAACTTGCACGGTTCACATAGCTTCGTCCTCGAATCTACGGCTTTTAACATCCTGATAGTTTTTTTTTCTTCTCTCCTTCCAAACAACCGAACTTTGAAATGAACAGCTGTTTGTATGAGGAACACGTGTATTTTTAAGTATTAGGGAACAATAAGGGTTGTCGTTTTTGTACTTTACCATGTAGGAAAACATCTTGTTAGCTGCTATTGCACGGCCGTCAAGACCAGATGTTAGATTGTGTTATGCAGTGTCGGCTACCACCTTTCAACGCTTTACCCATTATGAAAAATGGTTTTAATAGGATTCTTTCTAGGGGGGTTGGATTTCCATAGCTGATGAGCAAAGGCGACAGAGTTCTGTTCGTGAGCCTAAACAAGCTTGGGGAGACATTGGTGGATGCACAAGGAACAATGGAATAATGACATTGAAACGTCCCAGACACCTCGTTAGTACCGTAACAAAGGCCGCTGGGGCACAAAGAAAACATGTACCTCCTATTATGTATTGTAAAGGGAGGGGGAACCGAAAATGTTTTCCCTAGACTTTGTTGTTTTTAGCTATGACGTCGACAACAATGGAAGCTACCAAGTTCAAAAACACGCTTTGAGCGAGGCGACGGACAAAAGGCCGTCTGAGGCCGGTGTCATTTTCCATTTCTCCTGCCGCCAGCCGCGCAAATAAGCAACATTTTCTTCAATTTCGCGCACAAATTGGTTGCCTGCGTAAAGAAAACTGACAGCGACCCTAGAGGAGGACCCCGAAAGGCATCCAGTCCCGTTACGCACGATAACGAGCTCCTCCGACTACAACACCCCGTCCTATTCATTTTGTCTGCCAGCTAGCGCCAGACGAAATATCATAATCTAATAACGTACATGACATCTAGTAATACAAGCGTGCCACATTGTGCCAACGTTGGTGGCTCGCAAAACAAGCTCTCGCCGACAAAGGGAAAATATCACAGCAAGCCCTCCGGATTGCTTGTTACTTCTCAGAACTTCTTATCCGCCCTCCTTAATTTGACTGTGCGGCAAAGACCCGTGAAAAACAAGGCTTTACTTTTCGCAGTCGCGACGATGCATTATTAATTTTCGGGTCTAGCGATAACGCTTGTGGTGTAGTGTGAAGTGAAATACTTGAGAAAATAACGTACCTTCTCGTTCTGGTAGGCTGTTACGGCGATGAACGCTGTCTCTCTGAAGACGTAGGTACGGAAGTGACAGTAGGGGAGCTTCATAATGTCGTTGGTCTTCACGATATGGAACCGTGGTTGGTACTTATGCATCGAATTCAGGATTGTCTGAGAGTAGGCGAGAGGGAAAACAATATAAATGGGGGGCTAGAGTCGGGAGCAGTGGCGCCAATAAGCTCTTGCGAAGACAATTAACAAGCACACGAGCTCGGTTAAATTGTAGGCGGAGATACTGATGCAAAGAAAACAGCGCCGGTCTGGCAGGTCGCGTTCCGAGAAGAGCCAAAAGATAAACCCAGTGAAACCTACACTGGCTACCGCTGTTTGTCGAAGAAATTTGCACGACAATGGAAAAAAGATAACCCCACAAAAGTATAACAGAGGCGCGCGCTTCCATTGTGTGGTGCACCAATAAAAATAAAAGATCCATTTCAACAAACAACTTCGAAAAAGGTTTCTTGGAACAAGCGTGGAAATATGGGTTTCTGGTTTTGGCAGACGGAAAAGAACTCGTAAAAAATCTTTGCCAGTTGGAGAGAAAATAAAAAGAATGAGTCATTCTGCTGAATTACTTCTGATGGTTTTATAACTTTTGATACAAAACAGAAGCTCTGCAGCCAAGCTTCAGGGCGCCTAGACCATCGCTGTTATCTTTTTTGCCACATACAAAGTATCAAAAATACAAACAGTAATAAATATATACTATATTGAACGCACGAAAGTAAAAAAGAAATCTGGGAAAACTGAAAATGTCAAAATTTCACAAAATGGGACAAGAACATCTGGGAAAGACACTGACTTGAGGGAGACTTACAAAACCGTGTTTGTCCGAGATGTTGTTGGTCAGTTTGAGCTTGTGAAAGGACACGGTTTTGGACATCCAGTGCTCGCCGGTGGCCGGAGAGTCGGGGTGGATGTACATGCGTTTGGGCATCTCTGGGTCCGCCTTGCCGGCCACCATCCAGCGGGAGTTGTGAAACTTGTAGCGGCAGTCGTCGGCGGCTACGATGTCCATGAGAAAGATGTACTTGGCCCGCTTGTCTAGTCCAGACACCTTCACTTTAAAACTCGGGAACATACGTCTAGAACACAGAGAGAGAGAGAGAAAGAAAGAGTGAGAGTTAGTTTGGGTGCCTATGCAGTAATTGGGAAGTTTTATGAGAAATCTAACACTCCAGGGACAGGTGGACATGACACATACTGTTGGGAATTACAAGAATTAGAGATTTATTAGACGTTTTTCACAGTTTCGGGGCGAGGATAGATTTGTCGCAAGTCATCCCAGACACCTCCAAGGCGTACGGTTTTAGCCTGAAAAAGCCCCAACATCGATCCAGTCACACCGTAGCGCTCGTTCATTGAAACACCGTGCATGCGGCTGGCACAGTAACACGGCATAATTCACGGTAGTAAAACACCATACACCTAGCGTGGTCGAGACGAGAGAAATCCCTGGGACAAATTACTGAAGCGGTTTGTCGCCAGACTTGCTCTGGGCGACGCACAAGGGGAAACTGTGCAGCGGCCCGCACACAGGCTAGCTCGTTAGACCGACAGACCCTGCGTAGTGTAATGCCGGTTTATGGGCGTTCATCGACCCAACAACAGCGGGGACTGGCAGACGACGCGCCTCGGCACGCCAGCCGTGGGACCCCGAGACCCAACCCCGTACTGACTGCCTTACCTTCCGGACTTGGTGATGACCATCTCGGTGCCGTACGTGTGGAACTGATCCCACAGGTCCTTGTATTCCAGTTCGACTTGAGGGTCCTCGGAGTCGTCGTCCTGTTGTTGTGGGATCGGGCGGAGAACAGAGCCGGCGCCACCGAGTGCCTTGCTGACGTCTGCCGGCGTTTGTCCCGGCGAGGGATCGCTCAGCTTGGGCATGGCCAGCGCCGGGGCTCCGCTGGGCAGGAGCGGCATCCCAGGAAACAAGCCCGGCTGGGCTAGGAACGACGGCATGGGGAAATCCAGCGCCTTGGAGGCGGCCAGGAACGGGTGGTACGCCATGGTCGGCACTGGTATCTGTTCGTGTAACATCGACCCTTCTCTGCTGCCTACAGACTGCCTGTGTTTAGTGAATGACCAGTTCGACGCACAAGTCAGCATGTAAGCAAACGACCCCGGGGTGACTAGCCGCCAGCCACTAATGAGCCGGTCCCCTTGATTGGCTATTTTACGCGTTGCAGCCAATCCCCTCGCCAGAGAGGCGTGTGTTTGACAAGTTTACAAGATATATGAGCTATAAAAGGTGTCGGAACCCACAACGTGCTTATGACATTATCGTATCAATCGTGCGAAAATGTCAACATCATTAAGAATGGACCAATGAGAGGGCTCGGAGGGAGACTATTGCCGCGCCCTGGTACCTCTAGACTATTTTATCATTCATCTATCACTGTGACAACCGGTGATCGCGCCTCAAAACTTCGGATATCCCTCCAGCCCCTTTTTTCGCCGCTGGCAGGTAGCAAAAATATACGACATGGAGGGATACCTTGCGGTGCGCGATTTCGCGTGTCTTGTTCGCCTGGCTTCCTCCCCAAAAACAAAGGACATGGGTCCAAGGAAGTAAGTTCCCTTCCGCCTAACACTACAGAACACTGAATCATCTATTCCTAACTCCGTGTGTGGGTGTCTTTGGGTAAGTGTTTTTCCCCGCCCGATAGAGAGCCTTGCCCACCAAGGTGCCAAAACCTAACCCATCATTAGGCACCCCATACAAGTCCCACAAGTCCACCGGCCGCTAATTTTCTCATTTAAAGCCTTTTCATGTCTAAAACCTCCGCTTTCAGCGCTTAGCCACGTCGGCGGTACTAAAAACCTAGCCGGCGCGCAGACGACATCTTGTCCGAAGCCCCTCTCAGCTCTCCAAAATGCACGGAAAATTTTATTAAAGCTCATAATTCGGACTAGCCTGTAATATTTATGGTGTCTTATTGGAGGCGGGGACCGAGAGAAGCGTGAAAATGAAGAGCGGAACTTCTGAAGTGATTAGCTATTCCAGCATTCCTTTCTGACGCACATGCATAAGTACAGTTGGCGCCAGTCGTGTGACGTGAGACAATAACCCTCGACGCCTATCAGTTTTCATTCAGCAAAATATGCCCGGGCCACGGAACCGGCATACCGGGGGCGCTGCGCAGTCTAGCCCCGCGTGGACATGCGAAACCTTGCGATACAAAGTAGAGCAAAAATCAGCAAAAACGAGAAACAACTGAGGTAAAATTATACATATACATCCGATACGACTACACGAAGTCTTAAAGTGGTATTGTCGGTGGTAGAGCTTCCTTTTGTAAAATGAATGAAGCCAAACCGGCTTGTCAGTTTTGATTCTATCGGATGTGGGTACACACGTTCCCGGGCCACAGAACAGAGGGACCGCCTAGCTGATTGAGCTGGCACTCCGGCTCCGTTACCCAAGCCAACACGCTAGCCTTCCAGATCGCCTACAAAGAACTGGCGTCGCGCCGCACGGCAAAGGTGTCAAGCTTTCCATTCTCAGAGAAATAATAAAAAAAAAAATCAGGCGGGAAAAAGTCACGGGAAGCCATGCCGGGCGCGCGAACCCATAGCGTCTTTATTTTTCTTCCCGCAAAGTCTAGGGACGAGCCCTTTTCATGTGCCCGTCGCATTGTTTTGGGTGCTATCATTCTGCGAGGTGTTTGTTTGAGAGACAGGCTATTACCTATAATTAGCCTGGTGAGTGACAGTTTTCACACAAGTGCCCCTCCCCCGACCAATCAGATGGCCGGAGCGCAGCCAGGCTTGTTGATTCTGGTGGATTCGCCTAAGTGTTAACATAATTAATAAGGCGAGATCAAACAGCCGAGGTGCGAAAGGCCTTTGTGGTCTCTCAGCCGCGCGTTCACAACCGCACATGTGATAAATCGGCATGGCGCCACCGGTATATTGGATGATTAATTTTGGGGGAAGCATATGGGAATTGTATGTCATTTTCCTCTCCGCTGAAAATGCCCAGCAGCGGCGTACCGTATGGAAATGACTCCTTCCACCCGCGTTTGTAGCAGTGGTTTGGTTTATTTTTCAAGGATTGCCGCGTTTCTGCTGCCTTTTTTTAAAGCCCGTGCCACGCGGGAGTTGTTGGGGTAAATGTTTTCGTTTCTCGCCGCGCGGGGCGCGACCTAACCCCGGGTAGAGTGGCGAAGTTTGCGGTTATATGTAAACAGTTTGCACTGTGTGAGGTCCGCTTGCTCTACCACGCGGAACCCCGACGCCAGCGCGACTCCAACTATTCCAAGCAGCCTGGGTTTTATTTTTGTCTGATTCCGGGCCGGATACCGCCGGGCCTGGCTGCTGGGGTGTTCTGCTACATTTCTTCCCGGCTTTAAAGCTTCGGCTTGACCTCAAAACGTCGGCGGCAGGCTCGAGGCGGCAGTGGGCCTAGTCCTTGACACAGTTTTCCATTTCCATTGTAGTTTGTACGGAATGATACAAACCTACTTCTCCATGGGACGTCCGGTGATTGTACCCCCCACCCAGAGATAGTCATAGATAACACTAGAGGTGGTCCTTACCACTTTATACTAACAGGTTGAAACATAAACTATCTGTTTACTTCTCAACATGCAATCGTTTGGAAAAATTCTTCAAATGCGAAGTTTCGAAGGGGTGTAAATGAAACATAAACTGTTTATGGCTTCTAAGCCTTGCAGTTTTTCCATGCAAAACACTGTGAAAACTTATTAACAAATGTGAAATTATGACGGGATATGCATGTACTAGTACGTACAACTACGGAGTGTTGAAAGTATAGTGCTTTTACACCTTTGTGAATAGTTTACAATCAAGCTGAAATATAAACTGTTTACTTTCAAACTCTCACCCAGTTTCCCTCTGTTTAGGAAGATACCGGCGTCCCAACATGCGAAGTTCATTTTAGTTCACACAGGAAGACAGCAAAAAAAAGTTTTTTGTTTGAAAGACTCTGAGGTAACAAGTTCAGTCATCCGCAATATTACTATCGCGCCAGTCCACGCCTTGCCCTTACGATTAATTTTGTTTGTGATACTTTAATTAATAACTTTTTTTCTTGCCTGGTACCTAGTGCTGATACGGACTGGGTTCTGTGTGTCTGGCTGGAATACCCGAGAGGCTGGTGGCTCGTAGACAGTTTGCCTACATATTTCATAGGCGACAACCCACCAGTGGAAAGACTTTCCTGACAACGCTCGGTAAATTGATCGATAGCGGGGGATCGCGTCTACGAGTATCGCGGAAGCCGCAAACTTCTTCCGCGGGTTCGGAGACGACACAGGCGATGACAACATTTATCAGTGCCAGCAGTTTTTCCTCTGTGCATGCGAGAGGAGTCTACCTCCGTCTGGGAAGGCGTGTGTGCGAAATGAAGGAAAGACATTCATTAGGCCTGATATCAGGCGCCGTAATATACAAAATTAAAAAAGAGAAAAAAATACAGTGGTATCAAAAAAACGTGGGTACTGATTTGCCGTCTGGCGTTTCTGACCCATGGGTAAACGATGTCGCCATTTTCCCCAAGCGCTAAAGAGGCGAGGGAGTGTAATCATTGGTGGGAAAGACTGGAGGTAATTACCAGCGATCACTGTCACCGACATGGTCATAGAGAAGCCTTGAAAATCCGCTATTACGCCCCTGCGCGTTTGAAAGCGGCAATCTTTCACGGGGCCCGTGTCTGGGGATGATTTGTGAGAGAATCAGACGACTTTTTCTTTTCGCGCCACAAAAGCCGACGCTGGCACAGTCTGCTTGAACGCGACGCGCTCAACCCAAAAAGCCTTGTGATGTCAAAAGGTTTTACTTCTGAAAAATACCGGAAATCATTCAAGAAAAGTGAACAATCTTCCGTGTCAGACTTCAAACTACCCGTGTGTCGCTCCGGAAGAAAGATGTGACATTTCGGGAAAGGGGGGAGGGGGGCGATGTCAAGACAGTCAAGTATCACTGACTTTCAACCGATTTTGGAACTTCTGTTTTTTTCGTGTAATATTTATTAGCGGTATAAACTTTGCACAGAGATTTAGCGGCTTTCTGGTGGTCGGACTTTGCACGGCGGCGATCGACCGGTGTTTTTAGACGCCTGGATCAGCCCGACGCCAGAAAGTATCGCGAGGAATCAGAGCAAATTGGGAGTTGACTTGGGAACTGCCACCGTCTCCATGAACTTTAGAACGCAGGGGCAGCATGCTGGCTTCTCCAATCAAAAACTTTCTCACAGAATACCAGCCTTGTCTTCTGTTGGGACCTTTTCATATCATACTACATGTACGGAGAAAGAGTTGTCAACAAAACATATTCCCAATACTGTATTACCAAGTGTACTATCTTCAACATTTATGCCAACCATAGTCTACAATTTGTACCCCCCCCCAGTAATTCTATCATGAAAAATTGTTTTAAAGTGTCTGTTTTTAGGGTAAAAGGCAGAGAATAGGGTGTGGTCTTCTGGAGTTGAGATTTTAAAGAAATGATATGTAGAAACAAGAGCAAGACTTGGCGGTGTCTCGGACATGAACAAAACGCGCTGTCAATTTCGAGATCATAAAACCTGTAACTTCATAGAGCTGTCTCTAGTCCAGAAAGTAGAGAATTATAGTACAGGACATTGGACAAATGACTTGCTATATGGATAGGCATTCTCCCAAATGCTAGTCCAACAAAAAAGGAACTTTATGACTCACACATAAATGACTAACACAAAACACACACATGAAAAAGGCCACTTTACTATAATGAGTCAAAGTTTTGTCCGACCATGTTTTCTTTTTCTTACAGATCTGCAAGCCATATTTCGCCACAAAAATCTAGTTTCTCGATGAAATGTTTTCTTTTGTCTCAGAACAAATGACGATGAAAGAAAGAGATACGCAAATGTAAGATTGTGTAGTCTACAGTGTGTGCGTGTGAGTGTAACTTAAACTTGTAAGTTTGATCAAGTTTTAAAATATCTTTTTTGTTTTACAAAGATTAGGCGTCGTCCCACGTGTAAAGAGGTACCAGACACAAAAACTACTGCACCACAATACAGAGGATGTTCTGTGAATCAGAAAAGATCTGGGTTTCGTCATTTCACAAGGATGTAGCAAGACCCCTGCCCACGCCTCCACAAAAACATCTGTTACCTTTACACTTGTCTGTGTAAACATTCCTGAATAACATTAGCGCCCAGAAACCAGTACTTTATGAACACAAAATGCGCCCCTTTTAGCATCCATGTGATAATAGCTTTATTGAATTATCGCCCTTGCGTCTGGGTGATAAAGATCTGGCCGTTAACACGCCTGAAAAGTTTTACAGCGGGTGGTTTGGTTATCACAGTTGTGTGAAAGTTTGGACGCTAGGGTTGTTGAC